ATCTAATGATCTATAGTAAAGAATTATTATGACTGAGTAATTGTATATGTAAATCCTTAAGGCTAAATATCTACTGTAATATCTAATATATAAAATTCTCGTGTCATGGTGTTTGTGGTTGCACTTCTTTGAAACGTCTCGACCGATTTTAATTATTTTTTTTTGTATAGTTGGTAGATATTAGAATAGGTCATAAAGTAGTTTTATCTACTTACCCGCATACCCCATTTTTTAATCGAGATATTAGTATTTTTGAATGAATAATCTTATATATAAATACATAGCAAAGTACCCGAGCGAAGCAAGGGTGAGTCGCTGTATAACATAAAGTCAGATAGTTTTTTTTTTGTAGATTGAACGTGGGCGTACTCGCAGGTTTTGCAGGTTATATTATATAAAATAAAATATTAGTAACTTTCTAACTTTATCGAGTGATATTAACTTGGATTTCGAATTCGATTACCACTGGCCTTACAGTGAAGGAAAAGATAGTGAGGAAACCTGCACGTCTCATTGAACTTAGCAAGTTTTCGAAAGACATGTGATGTCCGTCAATCTGCACTTGGCATGCTTAGTGGACTATGGCCTGATGAATAATCCCTCTCATATTGAACCGAGGGCCACCCTACAGTGACACGTTAAAAAGAGCTGAATACAATGAAATTTTAATAAAATTGTTATATACCATTACTATTTTATTACAAATAAGATACTATTTATTTGAAAAAAAACAGCTCTAGACGAAGGCTGACAAAAAAAATCAGTGGACAATTATTGATGGATACAATAATTTTACAATAGTATATATAGTAAAATAACTTTTTAAGTATACACCAATAAAAAATGTTAAACCTAAAGCGGTAAACCACTTCAACTTTACTAATAACGCGGAAATGTTTGGCGCATTCCGAGAATCTATTATGTGAAACATAACGCGACCACACGATGTAGCGAGGCTGCCGCAAATCGTCTTGTTGGCAACTAGAGACAAAATGTAACAAATTTGCTACGGCCCCTAACTCTGTTGCGTAATTATTCGCAAGATTAAAGGCATACGTGCTAATGTGGCGAGATTTGTAGACTTACATTGTTACACCGTTATGTGAGATCAGTTCAAGATGGGACAGCAGTCGATTTATCTACGTGCCAACAAAATGGTTTTTGTTGGTTTTCCTCCACTTCTGCTTTATTTGTAGGCTTATGTTATATTATAATCCGTAATGGGACACCTTAAAATGTTATGAATTTTCCTTCTTCTGGAAATAGTTTATCTACATATAAATAGGTAAAGGCAAAACAGTTCAGTACATTTTTTTCTACTAATATACTAATAGTTCTAATAACTAAACTAATAGTATTACAAATTTATATTTTTCATTTGTAAATGTATGTAGTAATAGAGTTGCTTAATGATTTGTTTTTTAAATAATAACAAACTTAATTAAAATTATTATTCTTAAAGTTAAAGTTGGTTTGGGTAAATTAGACGGCGCACGGCAGCGGATGCGCACGTGTGTGTGCGCAAGTACGCTACGCACATATGCAAACAGCTATGCCTCGGATAACAGGAACAAACCAACCAGCCTTTGCTATTTTGCTTTCGATTTAAATTTGAGTACTGTTATTATATATTATAGTTCATGAAATATTATTATTATTATTATATAGATTATATATCTAAACCATAATAACACATCAAAACTCGAGTCAAACACTCAAATACAAGAAAAATTGTGATAGCCCTCTTAAGGATTTAAATAGTCCCATACAAATTTTATATTTGGTATGTTTATTTAGTTTTAAAAACTGACATTAATTTTCAAATTATATTATTTAACTCATTATTTCTTTCTTTTTTTTATAATTATGTTGGGTCATTAACACACAACACTATCTATTCTCACGGTAAGCCTGTGTTATATATACATATTATAAATATAAACACCTATGACTGGAGTACAAATATTCGTGCTCATCACACAAAGGAATGGACTCGAACCCGGAACCGCAGGCAAAAAAAGTAGGCTCACTAAAAACTGAGCCAAACGTGTCGTCAAATTAAACAACAATTTTTATTATATCTGATTTCTATTAACCTCAGTGATTTTAGTTTATTTATCATGTTAATGATTTGGTTTTAAATAGGACACTTCAACCAAGCAAAGCGTACATCGTAATTTACTAAATTTAAACGAGAAACCTTAAAATGTCTATATCATTAGTAAAATTACTGTAATTAAATATACACGCTTCAGCTCTTATTACTATTACATTTATAATATCGTTGTGCAAAATATATATTTTATTATGAAAATATTAAACGGCTTTAAAATTAAAATTAACAAATATTGTGAGGTATTTCGCTACCACTTGTCTACTTTTATTCCAAAGCATTGTATGAGTTTTGTGGGTAGATACTGTCTGTAATAACTATATATTGAGTTTAGAGACCTCTAAAAACCTTTGCCTTCTTATCGTTCATACATTTTCACTAGCGACTCACCCTCGTTCCGCTCGGGTTCGTCCCTACTAGACACATTTTAACGGTTAGTATAGGTTTCTCAGAGATGAGATATTTTACCGCAATAGAAAGTATCCTATAAATTGACTAGGATAACCAGCTATCATCGTACAAAATTTCATAAACATCTGTCAAGTAGTTTTCTCGTGATGCGTTCCTAGACAGACAGACAAACCAAAATTCTAAAAACTATAAATTCGGCCTCTGAGTCGATAATAACGACTATTTTAATAAGATATTCCAAAAAATATTTAACGTACAGATTCGATTCAGAATTTTATTATATAATATACATTATTATGTATAGATTATATTATATATTACTTTTTTTTAACTAATTGAAAGTTATTATAATTATGTTCATTAAAGTTACTCATGCTGGCTTCATCCACGTGTAAAGTCATATTGCATAACTAATTTACATGTTATATATCTATTTACATGTAGATTACTTTTGTTATTTTATATTTAAATTGTAATTGCTTGTCACGAAAAATATATGAATCTATTTATAAAAGCAGTAATGACACGCTCGCTTGGGAAACCAATGTAGCTGGTTCAAATCCCGGGTTCTACATCTCTAACACAAGAATATTAGAGAGAGAGATTGTAAGAATGTGCGAATCATTTGCAATATGATTACCACTTGCCTTTAAATGAAGGAAAATGTCGTGAGGAAACCTGCTTATATGAGAGAATCTAACAAGTTTTCCAAGGATATATGAAGTCTGCCAATCTGCACTTGGTCATCGTGGTGGACGGGTGCCTTATTGTATTGAACGGAGACCCGTACCCAGCAGTGAGATGTTAAAAAAAGGCTAAGTAAAATTACTTTTTAAAATCTCCATGTTCGTATGTAGACTTTGATGATGTTTTCCTGACCGATTCCGGCCACGGCGGCCAATCTCATTGAGACTAGCCAACTGCGCAGGAGATATTATAGTGTACAAGTGTACGCGCAGACACAAGTGCACTGCCTGTTCCTGTCACTCTCATACTCCGGTGGGACGACTGCTCGACACGACCGGTGAGAGTTAAGGCGCAGGACCGATGGCTTTACGTACTCTCCGAGGCACGGGGGTGAAACACCGCCAACTTCCCAACTCCGGGCCGTTAATGAGACTTACTATACAGAAAGATTCAATAACTAAACTTGGACCGACCGGGGACTTGAACCCAGGACCTCCAGGTGTGCAGCCGTACATGCTAACGACTACACCACCGAGTTAGTTACGTAGACCTTAAAAAGAAAGTGAATATAATAGATAAAAAATAATAATTTTCAGAATCATATAAGTAAATCTATTGGCGTATCTATTTTGTATCGATGTTACCAAGTCAAAAACGCTCAATCTTTTTATTATATAAAATTACTTGTCCTCACTGATTTATCAACGCAGAGCCTAAGCCACAGGGGCCAACTTGAAATTTTGTTTTATTTTTATTTTATGTAAACGTCCAATAAAGGGAAAAATTCAAAAAACGTAAATTTGTAGTTACATCACAAAAAAATCCAATAATAAACTTATTTCAACGTTTCATGTTACGGAACCCTCAGTGTGCGAATAAGTCTTGCACTTGTCCGATTTTATTGATATTAGAAACGAGAATATAACAAATACAATCAATATAATATTACATATATGTGTGTCTTGCTATCTATCAACAAGACATGAGTAAATTCAGTAGATCACCATCCTAATTCACTAGACAGATTTATTGTCGATGTCCTACATCGCTACTATTCAATAATTTACATGGTACAAGGTTAGTTAGACGTAATACATCAAATATGTAATCGTCGCACCTTATGTAGTAGAAGCGTGGCCCACAAATTCTTTATATTCCAAAATTTATTGTTTTATTATTACGTCTAATGTTTAAAGAGGGTATTATATATATTATAATATAAGTTTTTTCAGCGGCTTCACTCGCGTAGTCTTTTTATGTATAACTGTTTCGATTCTAATCGAACTTCGAGCATATCATTTTTTGATGTACACCAAAGCTCTTTTTTTTATTTTTATATATTTATGTAAACAATATACATATATATGTAGATAAGATTTCTATGGGAACTGTTAAATACAATATTTCGAAATTCAGCCTCTATAGCGATGAAAGGGGTTGCAGAGAAGTTCGAACATTTTGCCATTGAAGCTGACATTAGCTAAACCCCAATAAATGCTCTTAGATATATTGGAAACGTGAAACTAAACACCATATTGTTCATATATTTTCTTTAATGTATCTATTCTATCTATATTTATCAATCTCATAGTATGGTGCAAGTGGCAAAAAGAATAAAAATGGCGAAATTATGCCATTTTTGTATTGGCAACAAATTCTAGTGCCAAAAAAGTGTTTAGTTAAAATTTTTCCGTAGTTCAGTTCTATTTAATTTTAATTAAATTATTGTTTGTCTTATTTAGTCTAGTATATAATATACGATGGATATATATTATGTTTTAAAACTTACCCGTGCGCGCATCCGAGTGCCTTGCTGGTATTCAGAACCAGAACCAAAACCTCGACCCTGTAACAAAAAATCAATATATAAATAACAGGATCCCATGACGATGGTAGTACCCAGCCATCTTCCCTATTGAAATTTGGTGTATTTTAATTTCTATGGCTTCTCGAATCATTGTAGGGCTTAAATAATTAATATTATATTTTGTATTTTTTCTTTATGGTTATAAATATAATAATGGCAACACTAAATATAGATTACTAATAAATATTTTTAAAACTGTAATAATTATAATGATAGCAGCAAAAATTAAATAAATAATATTCCATATTCAATTAAAATTATAAAAATGTTTAAAGTTATAAAATATTGTAAGGTACTTGGTGCAATTTTTCATTTTGTTAATTGTGGGTAGGCTGTCAGTAACGACTATACCTTCGAGACATCTAAAATCTTAGTCTCTTCCGTGACCATGATTGCTGTAAAGCATTCGAAACTTCGGGAACTAAAAATCAAAATATATCCGCGAAATAATCCGAAAAGATAGTTTTATTTAAAATTATGTATATTCATCCCACAGTTATAAATATTCATTTTTATAAGTAATAAATTATTGTAAAATTATTAATAATAAAAACATATTGTTATACATAATAATTACTTTAAAAATATAAATATAATATTAACAAAAAATAATAATAAATTTGACTCTCACTTCCGCGACACACTTCCGCTACATTCAATTTTTCAATGTATTGGACCTACCCCTCAGTCACGCCTAAAGAAGTTTTAGTGGAAATAATGATTGAAAAATAGAGTAGAAAAAACTACGTAGGAATAAGTAACTAAAACTTGTCTTTTCCTATTTACGTATAGATGATTAAAAAGCAATATATCTCTACACTAAACAAAAAATATAATATAATGCTTCAGGAATATCGAACGCTGTAATTTTAATGTAAGATCGTCTCCTTCAGGACTCCACACACTTAATTTAATCATTTTCGAGTACACTTGGCCTTATATAAAAATATTAAATAATATACATTTAAGATGTTTTTGATGGGACGCCTTTGCCCCCAATAATTCTTTTGTTACCTTCCTTCCTGCCTTGAAAAGGAAATTGGATACTTTATTACGTCCCCTTTTTAGGTGAACCCTTTTTGATACAGGAAAAACTTTTTCAAGATCAACTTCAGCGAATAAATTAACTTTAAACGAAACAAACATTTTTTTTTGTTTAATTAATTTGATTAAAAATCATTTACAAATTAATTTTCTTAAATACTTTACGAAAATACTTGAAAAGGCAAAGACTTGAAATGTTGATTGATTATATTTATTACTAGCATTGCCCGCGGCTCCGCCCGCGTTCAGATGACCAAAAACCAAATTCTTAGGTTTTACATATTATAGTATACTCTTACAATGCAGTTTTTGTATTTTTTCTTAGAAATGAGATGTTTTCCCGGATTAAAAAGTATCCTATATGTTGACCTGGATAGTCAGCTATCATCATACCAAATTTCATCAAAATCTGTCCAGTGGTTTTCTCGTGATGTGGTAACAGACATACAGACAGACAGATAGACCGACAGACAGACAGGCAGACAGACAAAAATTCTAAAAACTATAGATTCGGCCTCTGTATCGGTAATATCGTCTATTTCAATAAGATTTTCCAAAAAATATTTAATGTACAGATTCGACTTAGTTATTTATATATGTATAGAAATAAAATACATTATATAGCCAGTCAGTCAGTTTCATTTTTAATTGAAATATTTATGAAGACATAAGGATGCTCGCCAAGGTTAAATCCTAAAAAGGTAAAGTCCTGGGTTTTATTCCCAGTGAAAGTCAAAGTACCTATTAGTATTTTCTAACAGCAAAATCTAAATAGCAGCCTAAAGTTCTTGTACCCTTTTAGGCTTGTAGTGCTACATATATCTATATATCAATAACTTTACACTTTAATTAAATCTAGTATATATATATATATATATATATATATATATATATATATATATATATATATATAAACCCTGATTCTTTTTCTAAAATAAATGTAGCTTAAGTTACTTCTTATAACATCAGCTATGTGCCAGTTAAAGTGTCATCAAAAACGGTCCAGCCGATTCGAAGATTAGCTGGAACAAACAGACGGACAGACAAAAAAAAATGCTTTTTTTCTTATAATTACCATATATACTTTCATATGTATTTCGTTCAAAAACCGTTACTTTGACAATACAAACAGACACTTCAATTTTATTTATCTGTATAGATAAATACACAGACATACATTCTTAAAAATCATATCAAAATTCATTGTATAGTTTCAAGAATTCAATCAAAAAGTGATTTACGAGATCGATTGAAATAGCTTCAAAACTATTTAGAGATTATTTATAGCTATAGCCATCTATCACAAGTATTTTGAATTTGGTTTAACGCTTATTTCAATTGATCGGAAAGATGCGAACTTGGCTAAAACTCGTCGACTGCGTGCGGTTGGCGGTTTTGTTACCTGCGTAGTTTAGTACGCCTTTGGGTTTAACAGATTGTTGTGGCGGACTTTGAGCGTAGTGGCCGATAGGATTTAAATTTTCCTTATTCTAATCCATTCCTGTATATATAAATATTATGAAAATATTTTATGAATTTGTTTTGGAGCAAGTCGCATGTTAAATATCCATACTTACTCAGTTATTAACTAGCGGCTCATCCTCACTTCGCTCGGGCTCTAGAAAAGCACAAACAGATCTATCCCACGGGAACTTTATACTTGAACTTTATGATAATATAATTCGACTGATGTTTTTTTCGTAACTAACGCCTACGCCAACCTGATTCAATTCACAACAACTTACCAACTTTTACGGGGGAAATAGAGGTTTACAACTTTGTTTCCATTCTATAAAGACGAAACTATTTGATGTCGGATAATTTATGCAAGCGCCTACAAACTATCAAGATATGACAAGAATTGGGGACAAACTTTGTCAAAAACAGCCACCCTCGTTCCAGTTTTGAGGGAAATGCGCTTATCTCTATCCTATCGGTATTCAAATCTAATTTGTCTTTAGCAATCGCGGGTATAACAAATGGATTGAGCATTGAATTGTTAAAATTGTTATAGGTTTTTTAAAGTTTCAGACTTCCACGATTCAGTTAATTCTAGTACCATTATATTTCACATAATTTAATATTATTATTAGTTTTTTTTTGTTTTTTTATTACTTTTTCCCACTCACTAATTCTATCATAAAACCTGAATTATAAACTAATTCTATTGCCTTATCAATCAGGAGCTGAGACGTGAGAGTAAACATATTGTTGTAAAACTGAATACTTGACATTCAAAATTTCATTTCAATCAATTTATTCTATTTCAAATAACATATTCTAATAAGCAATATGGATAATATTGGGTACTGTAAAATAAAAGAGTCGTAGTTATACGAGTACATAGTTGAAAAACAATTCTTTCTACCCCGTTACATAAATCTTATATTTGTATCGTATAATCTTTATATACATACATCCTTACTCTGCTCGGTTTCCTCCCTAGTTACGTTTTTACGTTTGGTATAGATATTTCAGAGATAAGATATTTTCCTGCAGTAAAAAGTATCTTATATTTTGACCCGGATAACCAGTGGTTATCATACCAAATTTCGTCAAAATCCGTCTAGTGGTTTTCTTGTGATGCGTTCCCAGACAGAAAGACAGACCGACAGACAGAAAAAATCCAAAAAAACTATAGATTCGGCCTCTAAATCGATAAATTACTATTTAAATAAGATTTTCCCAAAAATATTTAATGTACAGATTCGACTAAGTTAAAATTTTATTATATGTATAGATAAACCTAATATCTTAAACAAAAAAATGAAAATTGATTCAAGTTTAAACAAAATTTCGATTTAATTCATGTAAATTTATTCAAAATAAATATATTGAGGCACGTTTTGTCACTATTTGTTCAGAATTAGCAAACATATAGTCAGTGAAAAAGATAAATGAAAATCCACAGAGATGGTTCTCCGACACGCATTATTTTGCCCAAGGGTTTTGGGGATACTCGATAACGAAAGTTATAACCTGGTAAAGCTTTAGGTGTATTTTCTGCTCAATTTGTGGTTACATTACCAAAAGTGTAGAATTTGTTAGAATAAATCTAAGGTTAGTGAGCTTAATGTAATTTTATTACTTACTACGTTGATTCCCCGTACAAACTTTCGTCCCCATTTTAAGTCCCTTTAAGGGATGATTTCCAGAATAAAAAATATCTTGTCTTTTCCAGGGTCTCAAACTATCTTCTTAGCAAATTTCATCTAAATCGATCCAGTAGTTTTTGAGTTTATTCGTTACACAGATACAAAAATACAAATCCTTCCTGTTTATAAAGTTATTGTAGATTAAAGATTTTTATTACTTAACGTAGGTATGCAAAAATGGATAGTTAATACTTTCTTAGACTTATGCGAATATTTTGAATTTTAAATAATAATGGGTTTTTTCGTGGATTTATTTTTGTTTTCGAATTCTTTACAGCGCACATGGTCACGCGGAATACTGCGGTTTAAGACTTCTCAAAGGTTATTATAATTAATTATACCTATTACAATGCCTACCCACAAAATTATACAAGGATTTTAATAATACGAAAATGGCAACAAAGCACCGTACAATATTTGTTAATTTAATTATTTTTATAATTTCCATAAGCTTAACATTAACGTTTTAATGTTTAATATAGATTTTTCAGGGATGAAATATCTTCGTAAAAAGTATCCTATATGTTGAACTGGAAAACCAACTATCACAATACCAAATTTCATAAAAATCTCTCCAGTGGTTATTTTGTGATGCGTTCCCAGACAGACAGACAAAAAATCTAAAATCTATTAATTCGGCCTCTGTATCGATAAGTATGACTATTTCAATATGATTTTTCAAATAATATTTAAAAAATCCGAAAATATAGTTTTATTTAAAATATATCAAATTTCAAATACAACCATCTTTCTGGATTTTTTCGTATATATGTTTATATA